GTCCGTTAGTCTCGCTACAACTCGAAACTGGCTCGACCGATTCTGACGAATTTTTTTGTGTGTTTGAGTGGGTCCCAGAATTTTTCCCAAAATTCATAATTGGACCCGATAGTTGAAGCTGTTGTTGAGATCCAGAAATCACCCGTGCGAAGCCGGGGCGGATCGCTAGTCTATACTTTCTATTAGTAGCCTATACTGGCTATACATAATAAAGCAAAAGAGTTTTTTTTGTTTTAGAATAGAATAGAATAGAATATTTTTTTTATTCAATATACATTACATGTGTAATTCTTATTGAAAGTCATTTTTTTGTTTAAACACGCTAATCTCTGGAATAACCAATGCGATTTGAAAAAAATATTATATATATAATATTTTTTTAGCATTAGGCTTCACCTCTCAGGTAACCTTAAGTATTGATTTTCTGCCAACTTCCAAAAAGGGTACGGTACTTAATTCAACTGTATGTTTTTGTTTTTTTATTAATCCTTATGTATGAAAGTTACTTCATCATCAAGACAATTTTATAACGATAAATTTTACTCTTTATAGCATTATTTCGACGCATAGTTAATGAAAAATTCAAATAATTCAACACTCGACTGGGCGCGCGAACGACGCATAAACGCTAGTCGCTCGATGAGAACCGAAAGAAACTGAAAGAAACTGAACGCTTCTATGAGCGCGAGGTTAGTTCAATCATTGTAGCTATAAAATTGGAAAAATAAATGGAGAACTTTTATCTATCGGCTTATGTACGTTATAGAGCGAAGTTAAATTTTATCCACTCTCCCTCCCCCTCCCAGGTGAGCGTCACCTCCCCACGACCCAGAACTGTCCCAAATCGGGGTTTTTATTTTCAGTTATAAAGCTGTACACGATACATTAAAAGTGTGTATGTATAAAATGATCCTTAATAAATTTTCTAACAACCTCTTTTACATATGTATAAAAGCGATATCTGCTATGCTATTTTGAAAATTTTGGAACGAAGTTCCTTATCGAACGGTACGAATTTGGTGGGTGGGGGCTAAGCGAGTAAGAGTGTAGTAAGATTTTTCCGTCACGACACTTCTGACGTAGTGTAGACGGCCTTGGCGGCTATAAGGAAGCGAGATGGAATAATATCCATCTCCCTCGCATTTTTTCTTATTTTGCCATGAAAGAAATATTATTTTATTTTAAATGACGCTTCATTTTAATAGACGCACGAATTCATTTATTTGTATTTGTTAATTAATAATGTAATACGTTTATCCATAATAATATACTAAGAAAGGAATTTCGTTCCAACCGAGTGTTCCGCGACACTCACGCATGTTTTTTATTTAATCTCTTTCTAAATAAAACCTCTACCGAAATCTCTTTCTAAAGAACGCCTTGGCGGTAAAGTGGGAAATTTTTGAGAAAACTAAACTTCGCAAAAAGAAATCGATAAATCATAAAAATATTTCTGGCAGATTTGGCGGAAACTATAAGAGATAGCTGTTGTATATACAAAAGGCTGATAACAAGTTTATCAAGGATCATTTCGTACCTACACACTTTTTATATATAGTTTATTGTTTTCTTTAAAACTAGAAAAAACTGCGAAACGAGGCACTTTCTGGGGCGTGGGAGGATGACGTTCAACCGGGAGACGAAGGGACAGTGGATAAAAATATGTAACTTTGCTGTATAACTTACATATGCTGATAGATAAAAGTATTCCATTAATTTTGCCAATTATTCATACATTACTATCTAAAATGCTTGAACTTGGTGTCATGTCATGTTGCGCAACCCAAACGTATGACATGCGGCGGGTAAAACCGGGCGGGGCACAACTAGTGTTTTGATAAATTAGAGTAATTGTTCTTGTTACTTAGTTTTATTTAAATTTAATATTTAACGGACAATACATCCTCGGTGTTCAAATCATCCATGCACTTAATCGGTTTCATGATAAAATTTCTCGGTAGGTATAAGTATAAAAATATCGATACTATTACTATTTGAGTTGGGACAGTGGTGTTGTTTATAAAATATAATCAAGTTATATTTTATAAACTACACTATAGTTTACAAAATAATTAAGAGTTCTATGCCAACAAAGTCACGGGCACAGCTAGTATTAAATAAAAAAGTACTAAATACGACAGGAAACAAAAGTTTTGGAAAAAATAGTCTTCACCGTACCAGCCTATCAAAAGTTCCACAGTCCGATGCTGAACATAGGTCTGCCACATAGATTGCCTAATAACTAAGGGAGATAATTCTTTACAAGATTATACGATTGTCTGTTAATTAAATAACACTTATTTAAATGAAGTTGAATTCTCGAAAAGAAACATTTTATTTAAAATACATTATTGTTATATTTATTTATATGTCTACTTGGGCTTAATATTGGATAATTTTGGGATCGTCTTTTAATATAAAATAATTTGTATCTTTATAAAAGATAACAATTAAAATTAAAAATGCGCTAAAATTAAAATAAATTCAGGTTATGTTTATTAGTCTGGTTTCATATTCTATATTTAAAAGCCAGTTGCACTATTGCAATAATTAAACTGAATATTGTTCTTTTTACATACATACAAAATATTTAAAGAAGCTCAATAATGCAATAGTGAAAAGTGTAATGTTATTATATTGTGCGCTAAAGAAAACACACAATCTTAATCTGTTAAATACGTCTTATTTATACTCTTACGTCGCCGTTGAAATCCACTACCCCATATTATCATCGCGTGAGTGTCGCAACAGGCGACAAAGAGAAATGAAACAGTAGATGGACAGAAGCAACTTCTTGATAACAACTTAAAATAAATAAAAACAAGCGTGGTAACTATAGCATGTATAGGGCGCAGCCCTGTGAATCAAACTATGAGGTAGACTAATGTTCAGCAGTGAATTTTTGAATAAATACTTAGAAATAAATAAAAATAAACAAAATAAAATCGTTTATTTCGACCACAACCATCATAGATGTTAGTAATAATACAAATCTTAAAACTAATGTTAGTAAACTAAAAACTATTTACCTAATTCTAAAACTACATCTAAGACAGATCCGATAAGTCAGCACGTGCTCAATATGACAATGGTTCAGGTACTGCCAATTAAATCTGTCAGAAAATGCTCTCAGAATGCCGTCGGAACTGGCACGCACCCTGCGCTCCAGGGATCTGCATCGTTTACGCATGGTGGTGTAGAAACAATCCACATGCGCATCCGTGAACATACCCAACGCACCATAGTAACGAGGCAGACCCAACAGCATCCAGAATGCATTATTGTATTGAATACGCCATTGCGCATTGCGTACATTGCGTGCAGAAAAAGTACAATGCATTCATTGTACTTATTCTGCGTGTAGTCCACCCGCAGACTACTAGTGTAAAAGGACGTGCAGCAAGCTCTAAAGACCGTTACTTTTACAGAGACAGAACAACAAGCGAACCTGCGAGCGATCATGTTCGCTCTAACAGACAACGCCCTGCGCTCTCTCTCTCTCTATGTCAGCATCATCTTTCAGGTCAAAGGATACCATATGACCTAGGTACTTAAACTGAGACACCCTCCTTAGCGGGATACCGTATAACTTAATGGGTGGTACATATGAGGGCAAGGCTTTCCCTTTAACCTGAAAGACCATCCATTCGCTTTTCTTAACGTTATAAATCAATCCGTGACTGCGGGCGTAACTTTCACATACGCTCAACAGTTTTGCCAACCAGTTTGCAACTCTACGTCGTCTGCGTAACTGATGTTGTTGAGGTATACTCCGTCAATATGACAACCGACATGAGTGGTGCTAAGCAACTCTATCAGTGCATTCACATAAAGGTCGAAGAACTTAGGGGAAGTTAAGCCCCCCTGTCGTACCCCGCCCTCCAACCTATATGGCTGCGAATAGATTTCGGACCATCGCACGACATTGACCTGGTTTCGATACCAAAATTTGAAGATCCTAGTAACTTCTTCGGGCAGTCCGGTATCTTTCAATTGCTGCCATAGGATATCGTAATTTACGAACGACTTGCTACGGTCCAGAAAAGGGGCATAAATAGGCGTTGGCCTAACCTAATAGTACTTCACAGTTTGCTTCAAACATATTATGGCGGACTCTGTTGACAAACCTGGCCTGAAACCAAACTGATTGTCGTGTAGGCATATATGTTTATCAAGATGGGCACTAAGCAAACTGTCAAGCACTTTCGCAACAACCGTGGCAAGTGAGATAGGCATATAGTTGGACTTATCAGATATGTTTAGTTTTGTTCTTCACAATTGGCACCACCACAGTTCTCATCAGAGCCGCGGGCAAATACGAATGGTCTATACATAAGTTACAAAACATGGCAAGTACTCTAGGTAAGTGAGGACCCGCATGCTTTAGGTGTTCAATACTAAGTCCGTCATTGCCAGAAGACTTGCCACGCGACATAGAAGCTATAACCTTATTGACATCCTTCGCTGTAAATCGGATTCCAATCTCCTGCCCACACTCCATCTCCTATGGTCTGTGATGGCCCCAATGGTAATGTCACCATAAAATGCTCTCTAAACATATCTGCTATAAGACTGTGATCATTAATACCATTAACGCTCACTGGTAGGCTAGGTTTACTATTTAAATTATTGGTCGATTTCTCAAAATTTACGAAAATCATTTTTCGCGTGCTAAGTAACCAAGATGTCCATTTTTATTTATTCACTGTGGTTCTGATACCACTTTACGCGCGACTTAAACATACTGCGACTCCGATACATGTCCTCATAGACACTACCATTTTTTGGTTTTCCCCACCAAACCCACATTAGAAACTTCGACCTGGCTTCTCTGTGGGCATCGCGTACATATCTGTTCCACCCAACCACAAGCCGCCTGCCAACGTGCGAATAACTTACTATGTACATAATTATCTTATATAAGAAAATATAAAAGCTTTCGAGACAAAATATTTTTTATAAGAATAGTTGTTTTTAAAAAAAAACCTTTTTTTACTTACCTAAGATATCTGCTAATCCAGAATCCATCACCCAGAGTCTGTCACAAGGGTCAATAAAGATTCTAAATACCGATATTATTGAATTATTTGAAGGAAGCGCTGTGGCAGTGTCTGCTACTAAATTATCCTCTAGCGACGGATAAGGTTTTAAAGGTTGATTTTGAGGACCATCCACATCAACATAGTTAAGTGAGGAAGCCACACCATTCTTCCATCTAGGTACAGTAATAAATAATTTGTTTTTCCAGCGATCTAATCCCAATGGAAGATTGTGTGCTGGTATAAATTGCTTATCGTTTATAGCATTTTCTCGTTGATCTGGCGAACCCCAAACATAGTCCACTTCTTTCCACGCAAAGCGTAGTTTTGGTGTCGCTGCTTTACAAACTGACAACACCGTAAGAACCAGTACAAGCAAAATGGCCCGCATTGTAGATAATGTCTGAAAAAAAAATTCAATTAAGTTTTCGAAATTAATTATAATTTGTAGCTACAAAGATTGGGTTAGGTAGTTATGGAAGGTAGGTACTTTCGTTTTATTCTGTCCTTTAGTGAAGCGAATATTTAAGATCTTGTAATCTATAATAATTTCTTAAATTTACGCGAATTCTTCAAATAAAATAAAACTAATTTTACGGATTTTAATCACGATCATTTTATTTTTTTATTTTTGTCGTTTGTTCTATTTAATCATATAATCTTTAAATCCACATCCTTCACCTCCTCAATCACATCATCCCCTATGCGGAGACGATTTGCCGTAATCGCTACGCTTGGTAGGCAGACTAGACTCGCACTCGCTCGACAACTCTTTGTTAATATATTAAGAATAACGAAATTAGGTACAAAGCTATGTCGTAACTTAGCACTGAAAGTAATGGAAGGCAACACGCAGAAACTACAATAAACATTGCTCACGTTTTTGCAGATGAGTTTATTAGTCGGTAACAAGATTATGAACCCACAACTCCTCCTTATCTGATTTATCTTGTTATGCATTCTGATGGCTTGGGAACTGTGGCAAGATCTATTACACAACTAAATTTAATGAGCTACGACAATACACATTCATTAATTGGATGACGTCTGGTAAAAATATTTAATAAAGAAACAGGTATCTAAGTCCTATTACTATCTAAGTTCTGTCACTTGAAGCCCGTAAAGTTTAAAACAATGATTTTGTTTAAAATTATGAACAAAAAGGTGAAAATGAAGTCTTTTGAAATTAAAAGCCTGGACAGCTGGACTGGAGTGTATTATATTATCATTTGGACATCTTTATCGTTCTATACATATCAAAATATAGTTTAAGTTATTATATACAACGGCTTTTTAGAAATAGTACGGCTTGATCGACAGTATGATATTTTACAAACCATACCACATTTTACATGACGTAATACTATAAACCACCTTAAAAATTGGTATGAGTAAACTTACACTAATAGTTTGTAAAAGCAGACGTTCTATTTCTATATGTAAGGATACGTATACTATACGCCACAATCAGTGAACGCAAATAAAACAGTCACAATATACACGTCTTCACGAGTTTTCGTGCCACCAACCTTTATGTTTGCCGAATACTCGTCTATGCCTTTATCTAATTGTGAGTAGTGAAAAAAACTTCATACGGCGGAAGATATTATATGAGTAGCACATCATATAACTATATAAACATTAGCTTTGATGACAGTACAGAGTACAGACTCGACTCTAACCAACTACATAACACTGAGAGTAAGAGGCACTTTACGAAATTAAAAGTTTTTTTAACGTAAGATGTAGCAAGAAAATAACATTTTAATATTGTATTGTATACAAATAATTTAACAATAATAATGATTTCTTACATTTACGTGAACACTACACATTTAAATAAAACTATTTTATCGCGTATATTAACTTATTTTATATTCCCGACTTTTCGAGTACTTTATTTACAGCACCCATGGTCACGGGGGGGACCACAGAGTACTTTGAAAAGGGGAGACTGAGGTGTATGACGTCCCAATGTCATAGTTAACCACGGCTACCTCCAGATTAAAAATTATTAATTGCATGCCGTAAGCGCTCTAAGCGCGTCGGTATGTTCTACTAGGGCCTAAAAATTAAGATTTCAACGTTTTGTCGCATGAATCGTATTTTTTTTTAAATATTTAATTTTTTTATTAATTAAAAAAAATAATCTGGAGGTAGCCGTGGTTAACTATGACATTGGGACGTCATACACCTCAGTTCCCCCCGTGACCATGGGTGCTGTAAAGTACTCGAAACGTCGGGAAAATAAAATAAATTAATATACTATAAAATCCGTACGATAAAATCAGTAAAACTAGTTTTATTTAACAATAATAATCATCCAACTCATAAATTATCTAATTTTACCTCATAGATATATATGTAATCGTGTTGTGGTGGTGTAAGTTATTCACTACCTCATATCATCCCGTGGCTGTCGTAAAAAGCGACAGAGGGAAATAAAACAGGAGATACGTAGGAGATTTCTTTGCATCCTGTTAATTAATATATTATATTATTTTATTATATTAGCATTAGTATATATATATACATATATATATATATATATATATATATAGCTATTGTATGTATTACTTTTGTTGATTGTATTATTTCATTTTTATATACAGTATTATTTAATACTAACACTGTACAACAACAGTAACATTTTGTATGTTATTTATAGTGGTAGTAGTAGTATTGTATGCGCAGCATTGAACTTTTGATAGGCTATAATGGTTATGGATATACAGATAATAGATATACACCATAGAACAATAAGTTCTGTTTAACATTATAGATAAGTGGTCTATAAAACCCAGTACGGAATGAGCATTTAGTCAAATATAATATATGTATAAAATTATAGTTTTTACAAATACTTAGGTGTAATTCCTTATGTTCATTCTATTCTAATGTTAAAGATCCTATAAGTGAGAGCTACTATTCTTGAACAAATATGGTTTCGTGCCAAATTCCGTGCGTTGATCGCGCCAGAAATTTTCATCCCGTAAATCTTTGAGCCTACATCTATTTCTGATTTTTATAAGGTATTCTTTTTTAACGATAAATAATAATTAAAAAAAAATATATCTAACCGAAAAATATTGAGATAGAATGCATTAAAAACAACATAAATCTGGTAACTTTTATTTGATCTATACCATATTATTATCTATTTTCTTTTTGAGATTTTAGAGAAACTTTTGAAGATATGGTAGGAAATAACCATTTTGAAATAAAAACTAACCAAATCGAAAACTAAATATAATCAACCTCAAGTCAATATTGGGGTTATTGCATCAAAATAAATTTTAAAAATCTTCATGAATTAGCCTTTGATAAGAACTTCTGACAAACAAACAGACAGAGACAGACACATAGTTTTACGGATTTTATCGCGTATATTAACTTATTTTATATTCCCGACTTTTCGAGTACTTTATTTACAGCACCCATGGTCACGGGTGCTGTAAATAAACAAAAGTAATATATACAGTAGCTATATATATATATACACACACATATATATATATATATATATATATATATATATATATATATATATATGCGTATATATAGAGCTATTGTATGTATTACTTTTGTTGATTGTATTATTTCATTTTTATATACAGTATTATTTAATACTAACACTGTACAACAACAGTAACATTTTGTATGTTATTTATAGTGGTAGTAGTAGTATTGTATGCGCAGCATTGAACTTTTGATAGGCTATAATGGTTATGGATATACAGATAATAGATATACACCATAGAACAATAAGTTCTGTTTAACATTATAGATAAGTGGTCTATAAAACCCAGTACGGAATGAGCATTTAGTCAAATATAATATATGTATAAAATTATAGTTTTTACAAATACTTAGGTGTAATTCCTTATGTTCATTCTATTCTAATGTTAAAGATCCTATAAGTGAGAGCTACTATTCTTGAACAAATATGGTTTCGTGCCAAATTCCGTGCGTTGATCGCGCCAGAAATTTTCATCCCGTAAATCTTTGAGCCTACATCTATTTCTGATTTTTATAAGGTATTCTTTTTTAACGATAAATAATAATTAAAAAAAAATATATCTAACCGAAAAATATTGAGATAGAATGCATTAAAAACAACATAAATCTGGTAACTTTTATTTGATCTATACCATATTATTATCTATTTTCTTTTTGAGATTTTAGAGAAACTTTTGAAGATATGGTAGGAAATAACCATTTTGAAATAAAAACTAACCAAATCGAAAACTAAATATAATCAACCTCAAGTCAATATTGGGGTTATTGCATCAAAATAAATTTTAAAAATCTTCATGAATTAGCCTTTGATAAGAACTTCTGACAAACAAACAGACAGAGACAGACACATAGTTTTACGGATTTTATCGCGTATATTAACTTATTTTATATTCCCGACTTTTCGAGTACTTTATTTACAGCACCCATGGTCACGGGTGCTGTAAATAAACAAAAGTAATATATACAGTAGCTATATATATATATATACACACATATATATATATATATATATATATATATATATATATATATATATGCGTATATATAGAGCTATTGTATGTATTACTTTTGTTGATTGTATTATTTCATTTTTATATACAGTATTATTTAATACTAACACTGTACAACAACAGTAACATTTTGTATGTTATTTATAGTGGTAGTAGTAGTATTGTATGCGCAGCATTGAACTTTTGATAGGCTATAATGGTTATGGATATATTATAGATAATAGATATACACCATAGAACAATAAGTTCTGTTTAAAATTATAGATAAGTGGTCTATAAAACCCAGTACGGAATGAGCATTTAGTCAAATATAATGTATGTATAAAATTATAGTTTTTACAAATACTTAAGTGTAATTTCTTATGTTCATTCTATTCTAATGTTAAAGATCCTATAAGTGAGAGCTACTATTCTTGAACAAATATGGTTTCGTGCCAAATTCCGTGCGTTGATCGCGCCAGAAATTTTCATCCCGTAAATCTTTGAGCCTACATCTATTTCTGATTTTTATAAGGTATTCTTTTTTAACGATAAATAATAATTTTCAAAAAATATATCTAACCGAAAAATATTGAGATAGAATGCATTAAAAACAACGTAAATCTGGTAACTTTTATTTGATCTATACCATATTATTATCTATTTTCTTTTTGAGATTTTAGAGAAACTTTTGAAGATATGGTAGGAAATAACCATTTTGAAATAAAAACTAACCAAATCGAAAACTAAATATAATCAACCTCAAGTCAATATTGGGGTTATTGCATCAAAATAAATTTTAAAAATCTTCATGAATTAGCCTTTGATAAGAACTTCTGACAAACAAACAGACAGAGACAGACACATAGTTTTACGGATTTTA